ACACCTTAATTAAGAATCGACGCGCATGACCGGTGGAAGTTCGCAGTTGTGAGGTGACCTTTAGTGGCGCCGAGAAAAGCGCAGGCTTCAAATCGATCCTCCACCCCCAAAGTATCTAAAGAACAACCCCCGGCCGACGACTCTCTTGTCAACCCAACAACAGTTCAAAAGCATCTGAAAGCAAACATGGCGCTGGATTTCGCAGCCACTTATAAAGTTTTGGTGCTGGGTGATTCGAACGTCGGGAAAACTTGTATCGTGCATCGTTACTGTGACGAACGTTACTACGACACTTATATATCGACGATAGGTGAGTCGCATCCTAACGAAATAATCACGCTTCCTGTCTGATGCACCTTTCCTGGGATTGATAAGCTGATTGCTCGCTATAACAATCTCTGTTTACAATGATTTTACTGAGTTAAATTGTTCATGAATGGCCGTTATTCATAGCTGATTAAAACACTTGAAAGGATTTGTCTGAAAAGAAGAATCACAATAATTGTATCAATTATTTCGATCTTTCAGTAGTAGATTGTTGACAACCGTTTATTGTTGATGTCAATACGTAATTAATAACGTTAAATAACGTATTCACAAATCTCATTAATGTTAAATTGGTAGAACATATATTTAAATGAACAGAATATACATATAGATACAGTTCTGTCTTATGACATTCACTCTTGTCAAACGTTCTGGTCTACATGTATAAAGTATGACAGTGAAATATAGTTTACGATTTAAGTTCAGATGTATTTTAAGAAAACAAGTTCGTCGTGTGGAATTTTATTAGGAAAGTTTGTCAGGTGAGATTTAAATAATGCTATTTAGCGTGATCGATCAGCTGATCCTACGGGAACGGACTTCCCCTCATAGACATCCGAGCAGATTGCGGACTTTCATACAAAATATAATGTCTAGAATATAAGATTAAAGAATGCAATTTATATACGTTTTCATTTTACTCATTAAATATCGTATAATGTACTTTGGATATTTTCTAGATTTTTCCATATTGAATTCGCTGCTCAAAATTCAATACAATTATGTTTCTTACAAATGCGTAAAAATCTGCAGGTTAATTGTTTGTGAAAAAAGATAATAATCTTTTGTTCCATTATCTTATGTCTGCGACTTGTCCGAGATACGGTATTAATAGAATTCTTTATTATAAAAATATTTTTCTTGATAATGATAAAAGAAAAAGGTTATTTATAATTCATTTCTTCTTTTTATTTATAATTTCATAAATAATATTGCCTTTAATGTAAGTATGTACCATAAAAAAAGGCGTTCTGTGATTCTTAACGACGATGAATCAACAGGTATCGATTTCAAACAAAAAATAATTAACCTGGACGGAACACCGATCAAGCTTCAAATTTGGTAAGTTTTATTCATTATTCAATCTATCTGTTATATAATTTTCAAGGTATTATTATGTGGGGCGCAGAAACCTTTCTATTTTAATCTTACCGTAAATAGAAAAGCATATGTAGAAGTATTTATAGTAAGGTATATCGTATCAATAAAATCAATCAATCAAGATTTTACTTCCATCTAACATAATTATTAATGCACTGTTGACTTCTCAAGGGACACTGCTGGTCAAGAGCGATTTAGAACGCTGACCACAGCTTATTATCGCGGAGCCATGGGTATTCTTCTGATGTATGACGTCACTAGCTTAGAAAGTTTCAATCATTTGTCCTACTGGCTACGAAATATTCAAGAAGTAAGAGACGACGTACAGCGAATTTTCGATATGAGCTGAAACTTCATTTACACATGAAAAAAGAGAATGCTTTCATTACTTCAAATTCGATGGATGACCAATGTGCTCTTGCTTTCCAGAATGCATCGCCGGACGTAGTGAAAGTACTAGCAGCAAATAAATGCGACGTCGCGAACAGGGCTGTCGACGCAGAAAGAGGGCAAAAGATAGCCGAGAATTTCGACATGCCCTTCTTCGAAGTATCTTGCAAAGAAAACATAAACATTGAAGAAGCTTTTCTCACTTTAGCCAGAAGAATACGAGAACAACGAGGACGTCGGGTATACAAATTATTTCTTATGTCCCTCGTTAGAGATTTGCGAGATGGTCGGGGTGATTCGGGCCGAGAATCTTTCTCGGTTTCAGTTGACTGATCAACTAACGCCGTTCGACCACGTTTCAAATTGCAGGCCAGTTTGTTCGAGGCTTCAGAAAGGGAAGGAGCCGAATCGATAATCAAGGCTCAATCTCCGTCTCAACAGGGTGACGCTTGGAGGTGCACATGTTAGTTCGTAGAATCGTAGGTACGGGTGGGTTCGATTAAGAAACGAAATATTCACACCGGACAAGATTTTATCTTTTCGTGTCTGCGTAAAAGAAACGGAGAATTCGCGTTGGCCCTACATGTAAGTGTACATACGCGAACAGGAATTAGGGACGGACGATACGAGAGCAGGGGTTCGAAATGAGGATTTTTGTATCGAAGGACAGATGTCGCATACGTAACGGTGCAGTCATGAACAATCACGTTCGATTATTATCTTAAAACTCTGCACCCTCGTTCTCTAATCGATTTTAAACCGGCGAATAAGTGATACGATTCGTTGCACACACAGCTCGCGTGCATGCGTACATGCGTTTTAACGTACGATTCGGCACGCGTGATTACACAAGTAGAGCGACAAGTCGTACATACATAACGAGAGCACAACTGTATTCTACGCTAAGCGATATTGCTGCAGAAAAAGAGAGAGAGAGAGAGAGAGAGGAGAGAGAAAGAGAAATTCAGCGTAATACTGGGACGAAATTCCAAATAGCGTGGTAATGAGTTCGATTTTCATTTTAGTACAGGCAAGTTCTCGATACCGATCGATGACAACTGCAGTTAATATATAACAATAGATGTCTATTTACAATCGCAATGAACGACGAGATAATTCAAGTCACGCTATTTATATAAATATACACGTGAACGTCTGGCACGCATCTCTCATCATTGTCGACGTACCGACAAGAAAGTGGTAGATAAAACTGAACTTTCGATGTTTAGATAGAAACCACAGACAGATGAAAATAGACCGAGCGCTCGAATCAGAGATTTGAAATTGACAGACTGCGATGTGCACTCCTCGTCTGGCCCAATTGTTGAGGCTCAGTTATTTATATCACATGGACCCATGACCGACGGGCTTATCTCTCTCTCAATACAAGCGGGCCAGGCAGTCGTCACTTATGATAGGAGATGCTCATCGATTTTGCTTACACTAGGCTATTGAGAGAAAGAAAATAAATGGAAGAGTTTTTTTCTTCTGTGTGAGAGAGAAAGAGAATAAAAGTACATTGGACACTCGGTCTATTCTCTTGTCTGTATGATAGAAACGAAGCAACATTCTGCCATCTATGGATTATCGTTATTTCTTACGAATAAAAAAGACAGACGAAGGGAATTATTAAGCTTTTTAATAATCGATAAACTCGTTCGTATTAATTCAAGAGGCTGACGCATATATTATAGATTTACGATATAGATGTATCATGTTCGTACTAACCAGCGAAACATACGGTGCAACCTGTACAAGAGACGTTTTATAAATTTTTCAACTCATCGTTCGTATTACGAAATATACCATATGTTACCATTTGCTTGTTAGCAATAATTTCTGCACAATTACTCGGATCAACCGTTGATCCTTTTGGACATCGTCGTTGTTCCGAAGCCCTGAACACGGTTTTTCCATTCATGGCAGTACAAAATACAAACGAAATCTCCTTATCGTTGCTGGATTACCGTTAGACTGCGGACTTAATGCAGTCAAACTGGTACCCTACGAGTTTCATTTAGTACAAAAATCCGTAGTCTAATTATCATTGTTTCGAAATCACGTTCACGATTCATTGTACGAAATTGAAAACGAAACGTTCGGATATTGTAAGCAGTACAAACAATTTAGCTAGACTCGCTTAATACTCACCTAAGGCCTAAGAGAAAAAAGGGACACGACTCGCGTATATTCAATAGATTTTTCCGTTGCTTCGAGAAATGTAATCTCGTTCACTTCGCGTGATAACAGCTTTTCGTTTATTTACGAAACAGCATACGTGGAAAATAAAAGTCTGTCAACACTATTAACCGAGGACCATCGCTTTTCCATTATCGAAAAAGCGTGCGTGCTTTACAAAAGCATCGAGATCGTTTGACATACTTAGAACGCATGTATTTATGAATTTTAATTCGAAAAGGAACTTATAAGTTTTTGTACCTATTAAAGGAAGATAACATTGTTACGGACTATTCTTGTTTCATGTACACTCGTGACGTTGACCCGTTGAGGACTTTCGATTAATGCGCTTTGATAATCATTATAAACGCATCTGGCGAATTCAAGTACTAGAATTAACAATTAAATAAGTGTATAGAAGAAGAAGAAGTCAGGCACACCGTTCGCTTGGTTCGAAGGCGCGACAATTCACTAGTAAAATCCATTAAGCTCATTAGTAAAATCCATTAAACGTGTAGAGGCACGGTACTTAATAGGTGCGTGCAAGTATCGCGCAATATTTCAGTAGGTATGCATAGGTATTGCAGTGTTTGTCTTCACGTATGATCATTATCAGCCGTATTCCTCGTTTACGCTGGCAACAAGCTAAAGCCTTTATTGTGCCTACCGACTATTAGAATGAAAGAAAAAAAGACTACATCGTCGTACTTCGGTTTAACAAAGCCGGGAATAATTCGATAAAATCCTGACAAAATGAGACTGTTAATCGAGAAAAAACGACCACGCATTCGAAGCAAGAGCAGAGTAACAACAAAATGGTTAAAGCACTGTACGTGCTTCTCGAAACCCTGCAACTTTTGTTTGGAACATTTTTTTCTACTGTCAATAAACTCACGTTACGAAAACCACCTTGTCTATTACTTACGATTAATAGGATTAGTAGTAGTGTAACAATGATGATCGAGTGATTGGGAAGCGTTATGAGTTAATATAAAAGGGAATTTGAATGCACAGTAAAACCTCCCCTCCTTATGAACGCCTGAAATTTTCTTATTTCTAGTAGAAATGTTTCGAATAAAAGTACATATTAGATTTTGATGTATTAATTGTACTATTTCAAAAACTTCATGTTACGCGCGTTAGATCGCGCCGCTACGTTTTCTAATACGGCCTTCTAAGCTTATAATTAGCATAAAACGGGAAGTGTAAAACTTTATATGCTCTGCGCATATTCGATACGTGAGGATATTTTGTGATAAGAGTAAGCAATGAGTATGAATCAGTCTCTCGATAATATACAACGTGTCACATGTCACATACTTTTCCCGAAAGCTCGTGTATTCGATAGGAATATAAGAAGCGTATTAAAAAATCGATAGGTAACGTATACTTACTCAAATTTTTCAAAATTGAACTATACGTATGTAAAAAATTACATTTTAATAAAAGATTACTACATATTCCACTTACATATCGATGACATAACAACAGTTCAATCGAGAATCTCGAGAATGGCCGGTACTCAGAGTCGTTGATTATTTTTAAGATCGTCTTAAGCACTTACTATCCCTGCTTATCCCATATTTCTAGTCCCTGTCTTGTACAGAAAACAGGTACTTAAGCAAGTGTTCAAGACGATCTTAAGGATGAGCAACCAATAAATCTTTCATGAATCATCAACTCATTCATACGTACTTGATCGTTTCTGAAGTTGCACCCATCGACGTGGCCCGCGCATTCAAGAAAAGTGAATCATGAATTACGTTTGGCGCGTTGTTTGAGTCAGCGAGTCAGCGTTAGGTTAACATGCGCAATCGCATGGTTGTTGAATGTTGAACGTTCACTCGGTAGTGCAAGATGGCCGCGTTGACAGGTATATCGAGCCGTTAACCGAACCATGGGATACGCCTAAATTTTCAATTTTACAACGACACACATTTTAATCATCGTGATACAATGTATGCTACGAGTTCGTGCAGTGATATGAAAGGTGGAGGATGCACGAGGAACAAATGACTTTGACAGACGCGCGACTTCTCGTAACTTATGCTACATTTTGTGTTCAGTCTGTTTTTTCACGGGGAAGTTAATCCGTTCGGTTCGAGCTGGAACTCGCTGTAAACGGCAACGATCCAAGGTTTCCCATTGACCTACACGCGCACAGAAACTAAACGAATTTTCATTCGACCGAAAGTGGATCCTTGTCGATTCTGTCACTCGGTACTTGACACTTGTGCTTTGTTTATGTACGTATGCACGTAAATCTTATCGGCATCGGTGTCCACAATCTGAAACTCGTCTCTGTTCATTGCATACACGAGGTTGTGATATTTGTACATTAAAAAATTCGAGTTACTGTTAGAATATAAAAAGATGGAAGCAATTGTAGAATACAACTATGAAGCACAAGAACCTGACGAACTGACTTTGAAGAAGGGAGACATAATAACAGAGATTAAAGTAATGGTCGGTGGATGGTGGGAAGGCAAATTAAAGGATAAACGTGGAATGTTCCCTGATAATTTTGTCAAGGTAACTTTTAATCAAGACAGTTAATTATCAGCAATGATAACAGTCATTTACCGAACGCAGGTGTTAGAACCATTGCCGAGTGGAACAATGAAAAGTACAGCAAGTGAAGGAGCTAGTAGCACGAAATCTGACGAGGTTCCTTTAAAGAACGGAGGGTCGAAGAGACGATTTTGTAAAGTACTTTTCCATTATGAACCTTGTAATAAAGACGAACTGACTTTGGTACCTCAAGACACGATAGAGTTTTTGGGTGAAGTAGAAGAAGGATGGTGGAGAGGGAGACTCAAAGGCAGGGTCGGAGTCTTCCCTTCCAATTTTGTATCACCACCCGTTTACGAAGAGCCAGACAAACATAAAGAACAGGAAAGTAGGAAACTGTGTAAAGTGCTTTTCCCTTACGAAGCTGCCAACGCGGATGAACTGTCATTGAACGAAGGGGACGTAATAACACTTCTCAATACAAATGCTTCTGATAAGGTACAGAATACGTTCACATTTAAGAATTTTATTGTCTTAATTAAATACAATTATTCTTTGACAACTACTTATAAATGCAAAACAATTTTCAGGGTTGGTGGATAGGAGAGTTGAACGGTCGAGTGGGTTTGTTCCCTGATAATTTCGTAGAAGTGATAAACGTTCCAACTGATCAAGATTACGATCAGAAACACAAATCAATTAAATCAGTTTCAAAGCATTCCAATTTAATGAAGAAAAACGAAAAAGTTCACTCTAAGAAGAATTTAGATATACAGGATATGCATACAGGTATTTTATTAATTAACGTAACAATCATAATGTTATTACACAGGGGAATATAGACCCGTTATCGAGCCAATGGCAATTGGTTTCAATGGATATCCTCAAGTCTAACATTTGTTATGTACATGATAAATAGATGATAAAGTGAAATTGCCCTACAAACAATATGAAAGCCATAAAATGTCGTTCTCCTGTGTTATAGAAGCAGCTAGTAAAAGATCGCTAGTAGCACCTGCAACGTCGACTTCTCCAGGAGTCGGTGGGAGTGCTGCAGAGAGGAAGAGTTTGAGTGGACATTCGATCTCATCGAGTTTGAAACGTCTCGTGGCCGATGGGGGAACCAATAATGGTAACGGAAACACCAGTGTAGCTTTGGGTGAAGAATTAGATGGGGTAGAACGAGGAGAAGGCGCACCGCTTTCGCACTTAACAGCTTCTCGAGCTAAAGCACCGCGCCGACGTCCGCCTTCATCGCAACGTTTAAGGCGTCACAACTCTGGATCAACCACAATGTCTACGACACCTGTTAGTGTTCTCGGCACTTTTCCAACAAATGAATCTATTAAACATTCCGATGACGTTCCAATTGTTCTTAGTTACCAAAACTGAACTTTTCGTTTTTGTAATAGGAGGATAATTTAGCAAACGGAAACGCTGAGACTTTGTTAGAAGAGACGGTAGACGAACCCGAAGGATTAATTGTAAAAGCGAGGAGGAAAGCACCTTGGGTAATTTAATGAACCATTATAATTAATGTCTTATAACGTAGGAAATAAAGGACTGTCCAGTGTTTCGTGGGACACCTCGTATAGAATAATATGATTAATATTTCTCTACAGTTAATGCATAAAACGTGTGTTCACAGCTAGAAGAATTGAACTTGATCATTTCAAATCAGTTGAACAAGGTAGAAGAGAATAAACCGAAGGATAAGAGTCCAAGTCAGAAAGCTGACGTATCTCCACAGCTTGATCCGACGTCAACCACTCCAGAAAGTCCTGTTGTTCCTCCTTACGTTCCATTTGCACTTTACAATCAACTATTAGAAAGGGTGAGTGATCGACTTATGAAACACTTAATTTTCTACTTACAAGCACGATTGCAAATAACCGATTAAATTTTTATGTTTTAAAAATCTGCAACGTTGCGTACAAGTTTGAATAAAAATAAATGTTTTATGTGTGAAACAGGTCATCGTCTTAGAAGAGAAACAAGAAGTGTTGCAGCAAACGCTGAAGAAGATTTTGGAGGAGTTCGTACCTGTCGCATCCTTAGCGAACCGCCCAGATTAAGGAAGATCGACATGCAAATTTTACAGTACGTTTTTCCATGCATAAAAGATAATACTACTTCGTTTTTTATTAAAAATGGAACAGTAAGTTTACAGTTATTTTTCGATCATCGTATTTATTCATGTTAGTAGCAGCACCACCGATTCGTTCTGCTAATGTAAAACAGTATTTATTTAACTCGTTTCAACAACAAAATGTTCATTGTTTCTCGTGTTCTTATTTGGTACTTTCGTATCGATTTTAATAGTTTTAGACGTGTTTTTAGTAGACGAACGATATAAAATTTCCGAATTATCTTGGACTAATTACAAAATCAGTTTTTATTATATGTTTAATCAAACTAAATCTAAACAATATTTCTATTAATACCCAACGTGTTGAGTATTATTTGACAACATTATCGATACTTCTTAAAAGTTAATGTATCGCTCAGATGTGTCTGTCTCGGAACTATAAGAATGTATTTGTACTTAAATTGCTGAATCAACGAAGAATTACATGCATACGTTATTTATGCTTCTGTTAAAAAGCTGCCTCGCATTTACAATGTAATATTACTTATTTTTAAGTTCATTTAAACGACTCAAGTGCCAACATCTTATCGAACCTTTTTTTGCATAATTTTTATAACCTCTTTAACGATATTCAGTTTCGAAGAAGTAACACTTGAACATATTATTGAGCATATCTGTTTAAAACGAAATAGGTTTAATCGAATAACTTGAAATGGTGCTACATGATATAACAATATTTGTGATATTTTATATCACGTACTAAATGAGGCAGCCAAGTACTACGAGTAATCATTTTTATCCTAAATGAAATAAAGCGAAGAAATAAGTCTAAGCTCGCTTTAGAAAAATCGTATATTAAGGGGAGATTTTCATCGGTTCTAGCTCCAGTCAGGCTATTTTCTTTGGACGTAGAGTGTCAGTAGCTCTTAAAAAGATTTGTATAATACGACGAAAACATGTGGAATATTTCATGTTCATTAACACTAGAACTACCGGCGATTGATGTATACNACACGTTTCAGCTGGACGTAGTTTATTTAAGTGGGATGTAACTACATAGTATGTGATAACTATGGGATATAAAAATTTCTTTTGTATACGTGCAAAGAGACACTGTTCAATTTTGGCAGCTTTAAAGAACCTAGCCGGATAAGGTCGGCCGTTGACTCAAATTCAACTCACCGATTTGACCGTCTTATCCGGCTAGACTTTTAATAATTAATAATTGCATTTATTTATTTCATTCAGCAGTCGACGTATTGACTGGATAAAAAATATCTGTACTTGCTTATAACTTAACGTAGGACAGTTTTAATTAACGAAAGAGTTTTACATAATTATATCTATACGCAAATGTATTATAATAATAATTGTCAGTGTGCTATAAAGAATTTTTGTCCTGACTTATGCTTACAATAAACGAGGTCCTACTTGAAAGTACTTTATGTAGCATCCGTCCCTGAGTTTAAGACGGTAAGGGCACAAAATTCGTTGCGTGACAGAGCTCAATATATATTGTTTCTTACGTTTTTAAAAAAAAAACAAATTATGCAGCTTGCGATTATTTATACCGACTACGTTTTCGTATAATTTCTCGCAGATTTCTTTTTATACTGTATTAGTGTACATATGAAAATAATGTATATGTTTATGTATTATATATGAATATGAATGTTGTGCGAAGTATACATCTAATTTCTCATCGATCATGTTGAATAAATGCAGTAAATGGAATAACACGAAATAAATCATATTAAATTGGTAGTTTAGTCGAATTCAATCTGAACGATTATCAGCCAAATTGAATATGTTTTTCAAACATTATCATGTATTTTATAGCGTTTATATGCTTCTTGTAGAAAATGTAAACGAGAGAATGTACTGAAATTGATTTGTTCTAAATGCATTTATTACGTTACAGACGTAGAGGATGGAGCAGCTAAATGGGATCATTTAAATGTCTCCCTTATTTACTACTAGAATCTTCCTCTGTGGGTTTCTCTCATCGCATCTCATAATGTGGAAATATAGAAAGTGTCTCAAATGAATGAATTTTCTTAATAACTCGTTTAAACATCTATTCATTGAATATGTTTAGCTGGTCCATCCTGTATTTTCTATAATTTTGTACACGATCGATTTAGTTTCTAAACAGCACAGTATATTGACGTACATGAATGACTGATATCACTCCATACGAAGTAAATCCTTTTATACTTTTATATATTAGCGGAAATATGGCTTTAAACTAACGTTTCTATGTCTTAAGGGAACGAAGAGTTTTCACATTTCAATTCCTAACATTTTTCCAGTTGAATAATACGTGACAATAATAGTTCTAAGAAGTTTTGCAAAAATGGTCATAAATCATGTCAAATATTGATTACACTTCATCATTTGACACTTTTTTTTTCTTTAAATATCATAGTAGATATGGAATACAAATGTATGGTGGATGTAGATGTTTGTACATTCTTCAGGGTAAATTAACTTCTTCGATATTGGTTCATTCGATTTAAATTTTTGTTAAGAAATTAGGAGGATTAGTTTATTACATTGTGAATAAAAATGTCTCTTTTAGACAAGTTTGGTTCTATGTAATAAATTAGTCCGTCTAATTTATGAATACCAATATTAAAAAAGTTATTCTACATTAAAGAGTACGTTAATATCTTCTACACTTACTGCATATGTATAAACACTATAAACTATGAATTAATTACATAGTTATCATTTTCAATACAAAATAATGCTGTCTTCCTGTAAAAAACAATGCTGTCTATTACACAACGATTTTTTTTTTCAAATGGAGTAATGTCCGTGACATTAACAAACATTTTTCTACAAACGAAACTGTTTCAAGCTTGTCTGAATATTTTTATACATTTTGCACCATGCTTTTTAATTTTGTTCACAGTTTATTTTAAATAGGAGAGTTGGGACTTTTTACAAAATGCACGTTAATTATTTTTTTTTATTAATAGTTAATACGAGTTCACCTAACAGAAATTGGATTGATATTTTTACCTTAGAGAATGCAACTGGTAATTGATAATAGTATTGTATTAAAAATTAGAAAGCATAGTACTCCGGTATGTTATTTCATTTGGAATTACGTAGACTTTTCCATTCTTCATTGCTTAGTGCACAAATGCAGCTCTGTGGAGAATAGGGTGACCTTACCTCTTAACGCTAGAACCACCGATCCAGTAAAAATGACAGGTTTTTAATGAAGAAATGCATATGTACAAAAAGTCTGTAGTTCTGGCGTTAATGACCTATTGAGAAAACTAAGTGGACACTATTTACACTCTGTGTATATATACTTGCATAATATCTTCAAACTTTATCTTCTTATCTTGGATTACTAATGCTTGCAAATGTTATTAAGCAATGAAACTTGATATAATCAAATTGGTATTATACATACAAGTAAATGATAAAGTGTTTAAATGATAAATGAAGTATTGGTACTGCTTAATGAATGTACTTAGACATTAAGTAATTAGAAAGCATGTGATAGAGGATAAGTAAATACTGGAAAAGATACAATTTTTATTGGTACGTAGTTTTAGAATTGTATATAATCAAAGAAGAGTGAGATGAATTGTATTTTCCTTTTTATCGAAGCCGCGCACACATTTTCGACATGTAAATAATTTTATTAAGTACAATTCTTCTGTGAATAATAATTAACCGTTGTAACCGTATTAAACTTCTGTACATAACTAATATTTGCGTTCTTAATGCATATTCGATTGAGTAAATAAAGTAGAACCTTGGATCGCGAGCGTAATTCGTTCGGGAAACGTGTTCGTATTCCAAAGAGTTCTTGTATCAAAATTTCCCCATAAGAAATAAGATAAATCGGTCCAGAATATCAAAATGCTTCTGTTTATTGTTGTTCCAAAATACTCACTTTGCTCTTTGTTAATATTTTAAATACAATTCATTTTAAATTATATATTATGTAGAGTTAATGCAATTGTTACTTAAACCATTATATACAATTAATTAAATTATTGAAGTATATAAAATTACAGTAATAGTTACCAGAATAGTTTCTATCGATAAGTCGGTGGGATTTCACAAATAAAGGATAACGTGCTGTCACAGGATATGACTTTCCAGAAAGGACCGGGTTGCGATTTAATCGGCTGTACCAAACCGACGCATCCTTTCGAATGCGTTGGTTCACCCTTTCCCCATGCACGATAATTAAAGCACGACAGCGTTTCATCTAAAAATACAATATTCTTCATTATATAAGCCATAAAATTATTTTCTGATACAAAACTAAGTTTCCACTATTGTAATTGATATTTTTAAAAAGTTCACTGAATTCATTGGTCCAAAATTTATCGTTGTCACGCTTGCTAAGTCCAACGAAAGCAGGTATGTTCAATGAAATATACTTCGCCAGTCCGTTGGTACGTTCCTCACTAATTATGTGAGCAAGCGAGGCATTCATCTTTTGGCAAGCATTCTGAGCTTGACTGTAATTCAAGTTGTTGCTTGAGAACACGAACATTCCTGTCCTGGGGATGCAGGCCAACGTAAAGCTAGAACCTAATAACCATTTCTTAAAACGCCTCCTTTCAATTTATATTATTCTAGTTAATAATATATGACTGTTCATTCAATTGATTTACCAGTTACAGGAATGAAGCTTGGGTACGTGCTGTAGTATTTGTAATTTCTATTTTTCTCCAGAGCAGTGAAATTGTGAACCTCGGGGCACTGAAGTGCTTCGCATATTTTCCTCGTTACCTTGTTACCATGATGCTTCATTTCTAAACCATAATTAAAAGCCAACGCTCTCTTCGTCAAGGCGAACTTCCTGCACTCATTCACAGTTTGAACCACTGCCGAAGCGAGTATGAACTGATTCGAGCGCGCGTGAGATTTCATTAATTTATAATATGGTAATCTTCGCGAATTAATTTCGCAACAATTGTCGCACGCGAATGACTTCAATATTAAACATGCTATCGAATATACAAGCAATCTTTTCATGTTTAAGCGTCAGATCTGGTCGACTATGTGGCGTTACGGAGAACTCTATGCTTTGTAATTGATTACATAAAAGCAACTGGATGTCGGATGCTAATTAACTTGTATGTTAAGAAGATATGTGTACAATATCTATGGAATTATGATTCATGTAACTGACATTGAAATTCGATCATTTGTGGATCAAAACAAGTCATTTCCGCACTTGAATCAAGTGTAATTAGCGCTCTTTTACTGTACGTGCTTGAAAGTTCTTCGTTCTGCGCATGTTCGTCCCACTGCGAGCCGCCATGTTTGTTTGCGGCTCCGCGCAAGCGTAATAGAGTGCCAGTCTGTATGAGATCGTGGTCTGACGTGTACAATAATCAAATTGCACGGTCACCAATAGGTTAGATAGTAACGTTGAATTGTAGAGTTATTTTCTAATTGAAATCCATCATGCTTGATTTATTTACGATATTCAGTAAAGGCGGGATAGTGCTGTGGTGTTTCCAGAGCACCTCGCAGATGTTCGCTCCTAGCGTTAACGCGTTAATACGAAGTGTCATATTGCAAGTAAGTGTATACTTGTCAATGGTATTTTCTTTTTTTAATTCTCTGACATCTACACGGAATACTATTAAAGATATGATTTTCATGATGAGCTTGGATCAATCGGGAGAACGGAGTAATATCTTATGTAAAAAAATAATTGAGTTACGAACGATTTGTTAGATCGTTGCAGACTAGCTGACAGTTTTATTGCATTTCCATAAAAAAATGGTAGGACACGAGACTCTGACCAGATGGCAAAACGTGACACGCGTCCAGTTAACGTCTCGTAATTTAGAAATATTCTTGGATTACTAACAGATCGAAAGATCGTGCTACACGTGACAGGTGTTTACATTTCATTTTCACAGATGATGAGAATCTATCATATTTTGTCATCTGATTGAAAGATGATTACGTTTCAAAATGTTCTGCAACACTGCTTATTTATTTATTTATTAATGAATGTTAATTGAAACGTTCGACTGCACGAGACGACGTGGAACGATCTAATAAAATCCTCTGACGATCACATTGCCTTTTGTTCCAGGAACGTACAGGAAATCATACCTTTGAATACGATTCCTTGCGATTACAATACAAACTCGACAATGAGTTCGAACTGGTGTTTGTGGTCGCGTACCAGAAAATACTACAGCTGTCGTACGTCGACAAATTTTTAAACGATGTCCATTTGGAATTTAGAGATCGATTCAAAAATGAACTGGAGAACTCGGCGTGGTTCTACGATTTCGACTTTCGTACGAACTACGAGCACGTACTCGCGATGGCTGAACAATGGGCACGGACACAGGCAAAGATACCGAAACAAATGCGTACGTTCGACGAGAGCCAGAAATCGAAGAAAACAGTCGCCAGCATGATCGAACGGAAGGACGACAAAGATAATAATAAGAAGCAGGGTAAGCGTCGATCGCGGACTATTCTTAAACGGCACTTTCATTTGTTTCACACACTTTAACGTACCAACGTAGTGGGGCTGGAAGTAGGAATACTTACAAGTTTCGACCTTACTGTAATTTCTGTATATTGCTTGTATGTGTCATTTTTTATATTTACGATGGTTTTATTATTGAACGCTCGCGAGGTTTAACGGTACAGTTCTTTGGTTCCTTTTATTTCGTTTTCTACCAGTCGAGTATCTTAAGCTGTTGAGGATGTCTGTGCCCAGGATTTAATGTAGAATCACAAGCAATTTTCATTTAGGTAGTAATATGTCGTTTCCAATGTGGGTATCACTAACAGGAAATGGGGATCTTCTTCGCTTCTAGGTAAAAGGAAGAAGGGAGTTAATACTAGTAAAGATGATCAAAGTAAGTGGCTCCGGATTTTACATGTGTAAATTGGGTGTAAATTAATTCTCCGCTATGTAACACGAGTTAAACGTTGAACAATTAGGATGAACAACTATTGAATTGAAATCGTTTTAAGTAATTTGTACGTTTGTTAATAATCTACACGTTCGCAGTGAAAGTTCAAGAGATTCCGAAACAGGATCCACCGAACGACGAAGAGAATCATAATGGTGAAATAGACGAGGAAGTTTTATTAGCGAATCGTATAAAATTGGCTCAGAAACGAAACAATCAAAAGAAGAAAATCGACAAGCAGTAAGTCCCGTGGAACAGGAAGTCGCTTTTCATTTACGTTTACCGTAAAGCGATCGCGTTTCTTCAGGAAAGGTCAGAAAGCTGAGAAAGCCGGTAAGAAACCCCGCGTATGGGAATTAGGTGGGACCATTAAAGATCTCGCTGCCTTGGAACGTACCAAAGATAAACCGGAAGAGAGCGGCGATTACGTCGGAGCCGATATAACGGTAAACGAACGGAACGTCTGTCTGATCGACACCATCACTGATCGTTCGAATCGCATTTTCAGTTGGTTGGCCAGATGAAAGGTGGTATACGCGATATCGTAGTCGAAAGTGATTCCGAGGATGAATCCGAGGAAGAGATAGAGAGTTCAACGCCGCAAGTACAAAAGAAAAACAACAGCATGTTCTCAATGTTCAAGAGTTTGGTCGGTAACAAGAGCTTGAAACGTGACGACATGATTCCAGTCTTGGAGAAGCTGAAAGATCATTTGATCACGAAGAACGTGGCCGCTGACATTGCTCAGAAGTTATGCGACTCCGTCGGCGTGAAGCTCGAAGGGAAAATGCTCGGCACGTTCGACAGCGTGGCGAGCACCGTTAAGGCGACACTGACCGACGCCTTGGTCCAGATATTGTCACCGAAGCGGCGTGTCGACATCCTGCGAGACGCGATGGAGTCGAAACGGAACAACAGACCGTACGTCATGACCTTCTGCGGCGTGAACGGCGTCGGGAAGTCGACGAACTTGGCCAAGATCTGTTTCTGGCTCATAGAGAATAATTTCCGCGTGCTCATCGCGGCGTGTGACACATTCAGGTAATTTTTAAATGACTATTTCTCTTTTGAACGTATCACCGAACGAATTTTTATTTCAGAGCCGGTGCGGTCGAGCAATTAAGAACGCATATGCGCCATTTGAACGCTTTGCATCCGCCAGAGAAACACGGGAATCAAACGATGGTTCAACTGTACGAGAAAGGCTACGGGAAGGACGCTGCTGGTATTGCTATGGAGGCGATTCGTTTCGCCAAGGATTCCAAGTTCGACGTTGTTCTCGTGGACACCGCTGGGAGAATGCAAGACAATGAACCGTTGATGAGAGCCTTGGCAAAGCTGATCAAAGTGAACGAGCCTGATTTAGTGCTTTTCGTCGGCGAAGCCCTCGTTGGGAACGAGGCCGTCGATCAGTTGGTGAAGTTCAACCAAGCTCTGGCCGATCATAGTCAATCCACTAATCCTCATATCATCGACGGCATCGTGTTGACCAAGTTTGATACAATCGATGATAAGGTACGCAATCTTTTTGTTTAGAAACTTCGAGTCTCTCGCGAACGAGGAAATTTATTTTCGTTGTTATTTGCAGGTAGGCGCGGCGATTTCTATGACGTATATTACTGGACAGCCGATCGTTTTCGTTGGAACTGGACAAACTTACACCGACTTGAAGTCGTTAAACGCGAAGGCGGTGGTGCACGCGCTGATGAAGTAACTTTTAACTTCGTTCCATTATACACACAAATCGGAGAAGGATGTGAATGGATTGTTATTTATAAATTCAGGGAATGAATCATTATTACTATTATCGTCTCCGACATTATTATAATTATATACAAAGAAGTTTAGCAAAAATAATATATCATGGTGTTTTGAAAGACGTATCGTTCTTGATTATCATGGGCTACCACTCTTTACAAATTCTTTTCGTACGCCAGGCGATCTTTGATCCTAGAAGACGCATACAGATTTGTCACCGTATCGATTTATAGACTTTTTCTAAAAAATATAAATAATGCGATTAAAGATGGGATACTATATAATCATTGTACGCTTCATTTCTCCCGACACGATACTTTCTCACCAAACGAAACTAAGTTCCTCAGCCGTACTTAGAAATCATACGACTTCGCACTCTAATCAGCTACGCTACATGTATTGATCTTTTACTTTTCACGTTTTCTGCTACCTGTTGAACGCTCGGTCGGTACGTCGACCGTTTTCTACGAAACATTACCGCATCGGCGATTTGTTTAAACGAACATAAAAATCCTTATTTTACGATAATAGAAAACGATTCGCGTCAGATGTGACCCATCGGCAACTGATCGCCGCTACTGCTGTTTCTTTCTTTCTTCGACTCGTTCGACGATTCTTCTTCTTCCAACTCCCAATGGAACTCGTCATCGAATTTCTGTTCCTCGTCGACGGAACCGAAGATCGACACACGCATCATCATACCTACGCAGGAAATTTTATTACTCATGCTTCGACGCTGGTCATATGAAAACGTGATTAAAAAACTCGTTCCGTTTAGTGAAGTACTGCAGCTGTCGCGTAAAAGAAACGGATACCTGTTATCAATCCTGAGACAATAGCGATTCCCAGAGTAATCGCGAGCGCGAACAGTTGATAAGCAGCCTGTTGTCCAGCTGTCCTGTCTAGTCCGGGTGGCGTCATGCCATGATTATCCGTTATCTCTGCCAGCCTCGGTCCAGAGCTGGGCGTCCTCGCAGGAAAGATCTAACGAACAGTAACAAGACTTGGCACGAACACGAAACGAGCAGCACGGCGAGTTCTTGATTATTACATAAAATACTGGGATCGTCCTTCATTAAAATCAACGTGAGAAGTAAAAGATAAAAACGGATTACGCGACGACTAAGATCTTAATGGGTGGAATTCGCGATTCTGAAGTTTCCGTGACATAGGGGAGCCAGGACAAACATCCCGGAGCGACCACCGGCCCCCGCCCCCCCCCGGAAAGTCCAAGTTCCCTCGGCAAACAACGACAGTGTAGCAAGTTTCTTGCGCTCCCTCTGACGTTTGTTTCGCAGCCGATAGATTAAGCGATCTCTCGGAAGCTTTTTGTAGTCGAGTGGACGGAAGTTCCGCGCACTTAGCGGCGACTCCCGTTCAATTCCGCTCGAGATTCAGCATCGTCGCGTCGATTAGTCCTACGTTATAAAGGGAGAAATCCGCGTACCTCGTACAGGGAATAATTGTAAGAGGCTTCCGTGGCCAGGCCGGACATCAACGCGCCGAAAATTCCGCCCAGGACGCCTGGCATACCGTGGAGATTATGCACACCGCACGTATCGTGAATCTTCGCTCCTCTTTGGATCAACGGCTGCAAAAACGGGTTGAAAATTCAGATTAAACTCTTGATTCGAATGTATGGGTTGGAGAATAAGTTCGTAGCGTTTTTACTGAAGACATTTATTTAAACAAAAAATAATAATTATATGAATAAGTTAATCAATTATAGAATCGTTTTATGATCGCAGTTCATTTTTTCCGCCAATTCACGACTGGTTTGGCGACCGTTCTCCTTCAAAAGTGATTTGAGACGTTCTTCATCGAATTCAGAAGGCCTTCCGCTGCGGGACGCGTCATCGACGTTAAAGTCGCCATTTTTTAACTTTGCAAACCATTTCCGTGCTGTAGACTCGCCTATGACACCTTCTCCATACACGTCGCAAATGTCCCGGGCTGCTTCGGCAGCTTTTTGACCTCGATGAAAAGCAAAGAAGAGCAGGTGTCGAAAATGTTGATTTTTGCCTACTGGGTATTCCATTTCTAAGCCTCAAAACTAATAAAAAATTAAATAACTCAAAAATACAATTAACATAGTTTTGTAGAGCAGAAAGAGTTCTATCGAATGAATACTTACCCGTTGCCAAACAGCAAACAAATCGTTGTAAAATAAAAGAAATTATAAAAACGCTATGAACTTATTCCCCAACCTAATAAAATAAAACTGGTATCGATTATGTGATCACGAAGAATTACGATGGTCCAAGTATAAAGGTTTTTATCGGGGAGGGAGGAAAATCATCGACGTAGGAAGTTGTTTAATCTGTGTTTGATCTGTGCGTGGTCGGAAGTTACACCGGAAACTGCACCGAGGGGGAAAAGAACCAGGACTTGAAGAACAAAGTACATAAAGAATATGGAATTAGCGGAGCGTGATGAATCGGGCAGGGGATGATTAAAAGAACTTTCGACGAAACTTTTCCGCGATGATTATCCGTCTTGCGCGTATCTTGCTAAGTCAATATCACCGGCACGTGGTACTTTCTTTCACCGATCGGGTGTAAAGCGAGATAAAAGTTTCCCTATTGACACTACTAAATATAATGAATCTTCCATTCAACCCTTCCCGTTTCTTCGCCGTTCGTTCGCTCGATACGCGATAAGAAAATAAATACTAAGTATATGAAAGTCTGCGAGGGATTTGAACATTAAAAAGCGATAATTGTTAATTACCGTCAGATACTTGTAGCCGAGGACGCTAAACAGTCCGGCGAGAGCGCCTATGACCACGGCGCCCACTGGCTCGCACATCATGCCTGTGTTTATTCAGAAAATGTTAGACGCGCAGCAAACCCAAGTCTCCGAGTAATTAGGTGGCGGTCGTCTTGCACCTACCTGCCGCAGTGCCGATGGCCACACCGCCGGCCAGCGTCGAGTTCTGCACGTGGACCATGTTGAACTTGCTGTCCTTCGACACCAGACCGGAGGTGGCGAACGCGATCACACAGCTAGCCGAGATCGACAGAAGGGTGTTTATAATGGCCCTTTGCTGGCTGTCTCCTTGGAGGGCTGCGCTGTTGAACGACGGCCAGAACAGCCACAGGAATACCGTTCCTGTCAAAGCAAACGGCTCCTGAACGACGCTAAAAATACTCGTACTTTAATCCGTTCTACTGGTACACAGTACGATTCGATTTAACTAAACTATCTATTTACGTACCTCGATACGGAAAAGAAGAACCAACGATCGAGGTCACTCGATAATTAAATACTATGGCCGGTATTCAGAGTCGTTACTTATTTTTAAGATCGCTTTAAATATTTGCTTAACTCACCATTTTCTGTATACAACAGGGATTGGAAATATAGGATACACAGAGATAGCAAATTCGATCTTAAAGATGTATTGCCTATACAATCAATCCCAAAAGTTTATGCACTTTAGAAAC